TCATCAGGGGTAACTCGGGTCAGGGCTAACTCGGGTTCGTTTTTCGGGATTCCGAACCCGAGTTTTCCCGGCAGGGGTAACTCGGGTCAGGGCTAACTCGGGTTCGTTCTTCGGGATTCCGAACCCGAGTTACCCCGGGCCCGAGTTACCCGGCGCCCTCTAAGAAGCAGCCTCCTTCGAAGACGCCTGCCGCCCTCCCCCTTCCCCCCCTTCTGCGCGCCGCCAACACTGAAGCAGTGCCGAAGCGCCCTGGCGTGCGTATAGCCCCACCAAACAATGTTCTTAGAACCTTTTGTGGTTCCCACGAAATGTTCTTAGAACATTTCTGGCTGGGACTGTCTTGTTTCGGGTTTATGTGCTAAGAACATTGTTTTTACTCTTAGAACATTTTTGGGTTCTAAGAACATTTCGTGGTATGACTATAGGAATGCCGGGACGGTCGGTCCCTGCTCAAAACACAGTCGGGCCGCTGAAGGAGGAACCCTTGTCGCTGGTGATGGGCTCAGTGGCCCCTATTTGCTTTACAGCTTGCCTCAGGTCTTTCTCAGGTTTTCTGTGGGTGATCGATGTTTAACTGATGGAGAAAAGGGGGCCTCGTTCCTTATGAGTGGGGGCTCGTTTCAAGATGCCATCCGATTTTCGTCCCGCGGCCCTCGGTTTCTTCGCTCCGCGCGCAGCGCAGTGACTTGCCGCAGCCGCTCAAGAAGCTGCTGCGTTCAGGGCGCTCCGGGTCTTCCCTCAGGTGCACTTCGCGCGCGGGCTTTCAGGCTTGGGTGTCTTGTGAGGGTTCTTTGCGGCCACGCCCGCACTGCATTCTGCGGGTCCCAAGAACATGCACCACCATCACGTCGATTCCTCCTCCCTCCACTACCCTCTGCTTCCTTTCCTCTTTCCTGGGGGAGTGAGGGGGGGAGGGAGGTGGTAGTGGTGTATATGTATCGGAGGTTGGGGGGTGAGATCGCAGTGGAACGGAGATCCCCAACCGGGACATCGTTTCGTTTCGTTCGTGTCGTGCGTGCGGGCGAGGCGAAGCTGGGTGGGCGCGCGAGAGGAATGAACCCGCCGTTGTTAGGGCGACGTTAAGACAAATGATTATCCCCCGCCCGCCCGCCAGTCCGGCGGGTCCCGTGGTGTCCCGCGGTGTCCCGTGGTGTCCCGGGGTGTCCCGTGGTGTCTGCCGTTGCTAGGGCTAAGTCAAGACAACTGCTTTTCCCCCGCGCGCCCGTCCGTCGGTCCGTCCGGCGGTGGCTCGCGGTGTCCCGCGTTGTCCCGCGTTTGTCCTGTGGTGTCCCGTGGTGGCCCATTGCGTCCCGTTTAGTTAGATCGATACTGAGATCGATACTGAGATCGATATGGTGCCCCGAGTTGTCCCGTGGTGTCCCGTGGTGTCCCAAAAGTGAGATCGATAATGAGATCGATAGTGAGATCGACAGGTGTCCCGTGGTGTCCCGTGGTGTCTCGTGGTGTCCCGTTGAGTGAGATCGATAGTAAGACCGATAGTGAGACTGATAGTGAGATCGATGTGGTGCCCCGTGGTGTCCCAAGAAGTGAGATCGATAGTGAGATCGATAGTGATATCGACAAGTGTCCCGTGGCCTCCCGTGGTGTCCCGTTGAGCGAGATCGATCGTGAGATCGATCGAGTCAGATGTTGGTCCCCCCCACAACCTCCTCATCACCCGGAGTGTGGCCGTATAGGTACGTATGCACGAGAAAATGTTGGTGAATCCTGGGATTTGTGCATATATTTGTTTGTGTGTCCCTGGGCCCCCTCAGCATCCCCTTCTCTCGCAGAGGCCTCTCCGGGCCCTTCCCGGGCCTGAGGAGGAGGAGGAGGAGGAGGAGGAGGAGGAGGAGGAGGAGGAGGAGGGAGGAGAGAGGAGGAGGAGGAGGAGGAGGAGCATCCCCCCCCTCTCGTCCGGTACGAGGGCGGCCAGCGGGGGCCCCGCCGCGAGGCCGGCCGCACCCCGCCCGGCCTCCGCGCCCCCCCCCGCCGCGCAGGCGCCGCGCCCGGCGCCGCCGCCGCGCCGTGGTGGCTGGCGCCCGAGCACCCCCCGCGCGGGGTGCGGCCCGCGGCCGAGTGAGCCACGGAGCCGCCGCGCGTTGGCCAGGCCTCGGCCTCCTCCTCCTCCCCTCCCTTCCTCCTCCCTCCTCCTCCCCCGCCTCCCTTTCCTCCTCCTCCTCTCCTCCCTTCCTCCTCCGCCTACCTCCTCTCCTCCTCCTCCTCCTCCTTCCTCCTCCTCCGCCTCCTCATCCTCCTCCTTCCTCCTCCTCCTCTCCTCCTCCTCCTCCTCCTCCTCCTCCTCCTCCCTCCCTCTCACTCCTCCTCCTCCTCTCCGCCTCCTCCTCCTCCTCCTCCTCCATCCTCCTCCTCCTCCTCCTCCTCCCTCCTCTTCCTCCTCCTCCTCTCTCCTCCTCCTCCTCCTCCTCCTCCTCCCTCCTCCTCCTCCTCCTCCCTCCTCCTCTCCTCCTCCTCCTCCTCCTCCTCCTCTCCTCCTCTCCTCCTCCTCCTCTCCTCCCTCCTCCTCCTCCTCCTCCTCCTCCTCCTCCTCCTCCTCCTCCTCCTCCTCCTCCTCCTCCTCCTCCTCCTCCTCCTCCTCCTCCTCCTCCTCCCCGCGCCGAGGTGGAGGAGGAGGAGGAGGGGAAGGAACTCCGACGCCGCCGCGGGCCGCGGCGTGGGCCGGAGGGGCCTGGAGATCCTGGCGTGGCACTCTTTGTCACTGCGGGCATCTTCGCGCCCAGGTTGGGGAACCGGGGGCCCTCACAGATCGATGTGGCTCGATGCGGCTCGAAGGGTCTGGGGCTCTGTTGGTGATCTTGGTTTGCGATGTTGCGTTTTTGCGGGCGGAAGTCGGGCCTTCGGGGGGGAAGGACGAGGATGGGGAAGAGTGGGAGGAGGAGGAGGAGGAGGAGGAGGAGGAGGAGGAGGAGGAGGAGGAGGAACAGGAGGAGGAACGGAGGAGGAGGAGGACGAGGGGGAGGAGGAGGAGGAGGAGGAGGAGGAGGAGGAGGAGGAGAGGAGAAGAGGAAGACGACAGGAGAAGGAGAAAGGGGATGGGGAGGAGGCGGTGGGCGTGAGGGGGAGCAGGAGGAGGAGCAGCAGCAGCAGAGCCAGGCAGGCGGGCGGAGTCGAGGGGGGGCGGGCTGACTTGCACCCTTCCCCTCCCTCTTTGCCCCGCGCCCCCGGAAAAGCGCCGCGGGGGCCGCCGCCGCTGCGCTGGCTCGAGCGGGGCTGCAAGACTCCTCAATATCAGGCGCAAGTTCTGATGCAACCCCGCGGGCCCCCGAGTTTTGCATGTGGATGGACGCGCCACGGGGCCCGCAGGGTCCCAGGCAGAACTGGCAGTCGCCAGTCCAGGCGTGAGGATTGACACTCAGGCTCCATCGTCGCCGCCACGCCGTGGGAATCACTTGCGTTTGATTCCGAGGGGGGATGTCGGGTGAGGCTACGTCCGTTTCGGAGCTTTCCGGAAGGCTCTGTGAGCGTTCCGGAACGCTCTGAGAAGCCTCGGTGCCCGAGGCCTTCTTCTGCATCGTCGCCAGATTTCCGGGATTCGATCTTGTCCTCACCCGGTTCTGTCCTCGTCCTGGCTTCGTCGATCTGCCGCCGGTGCTGCCGGCGCCGCCGCCGCTGGAGGGCTGCCGCGGCCGCGGCCGCGCCCGCCGCGGGGTGCTGCCCCGCGGGTGTTCGCCGCGCCGCCCGGCCGCGGGGCCCGAGTGCCGCGCTCCGCAGCGCTCTCCGCTGAGCTCCGTCCCTCTTGAGTTCGTCGCCCCCTGTCTCAAGCAGTGGCGACTCGTCCTCTCTCGCCTAATGCAGGGAAACGATAAAAAAAAATCGCCCCCCCCCCCCTCCCCCCCGGACCCCCCAAAATGATTGAGCGGGGGGGACTAATAGAATTCAGCCGCCAGAAACTGTTTTTTTAATCGTCCGCCCCCCGGCGTTTGCTTTTGCCCCTTTGGGGGAACTGATTTTCTATTCGTCCTCCTTCGCTCGCTTGATCACCCGCGGCCGCGGGGGGAGGATTGCGGAGGGGGGACGGGGCAATTAGGGAGTAGTTGAGGGAAAGGGTTTTCGAAGAGGCGCTTGATCACCCTCGTCCTTGCGGACGGCCGCCGGTCGTCCTTGCGGACGGCCGCGGCGATTGGGAGGAGGGGGATGCGGAGGAAGGGTCCCCTGGCCCCCGCGCCCTGTATCGCCACCCCGTGCCCCCCCCCCCCTGGCCTTCCAGGCAACCTGGAATTGTCAGCCCCCCGTCTGCCTGCCTTGCCCCCCCGCTATTGCGGGGGCGAGGGGGCCCGCGAAACATTTGTTTTAATCGTTTGCCCCAGCAGTTTTTTTTTTTTTGTTTGTGTGTGTCTCTGCTTTATTATAGTATATATATATATATAAACGTCCCCCTTTATTACAGCCAGACCAAACCATGTTCTTAGAACGTATCTTGCATAGTTCTGTTTTAGCACAGCGGGTTGACGTTCTAAGAGCACTGCTGCAGCTGTTGTTCTTAGAACAGTTTTGGGGTTCTAAGAACATGTCGTGGTAGGACTATAGGAATGCCGGGACGGTCGGTGCGTGCTCAACTGTCATTCGGGACGATCGAACTGTGTACGGAGAAAATGGGTACCGATGTCCGGCACCGATGAACAGGACTCGGTGTTCGATCCGCCGATGATGCGGTTCTTTGAAGGCAGAAAAACCGCGGGCCCAACAGTGTCCGCTGTCGGTTTGGGACAAATTTGCTGTTGGGTATGATGCCCATGTCAAGCGTCCAAAATCATGACGGCGTCCAAAAGGGCCGAGGCCCTCCCTGCGGCTCCTCGGCCTACGCAGACGGCCGGAGGGAGGGGCGCCAGCGTACCTCCACAGCTCTGACCCTGATACACTCGGGGCGCTGAAGAAGGAACCCTTTTCGTTTGGGAGGGGCTCCGTGTTCCTTCGTCGTTTTACAGTGCTCCTTTGGTTTTCTTGAGGTTTTCCATGGAATGTCGGAGCTCAACGTATGGGAAAAAAAGAGCCTCGTTCCTTATCTAGGGTTCCTTGGGGCAACGCCCCAACTGTACCTGAGGGCGCCAATTGCCACCATCCAGTGCTTCCCCCTCTGCACCACCCCTTGCTCCGCGCGTGCAGCGGCAGCCGCTTCCCCCAGCAGCTCTCCGGCGAGGCTGCCGCTGCCCGCCCTGCTGGTGCTTCCCCCCTTCTCGGGCGAGGCGACATGGGGGGGGCCTTAACCTTGGCATCGCTCGGACGTGTGCATTTTTCCTCGGGCGAGGACCATCGAGGAGCATCCTTGATCATTTGGCGAAAAAACCACGCGCGAAACCGTCAAAAAACACAGGGAATGGACGTCCGAGCGATGGCGAGTAATGGGGGGGCGAAGGGAGGTTCACCTTTGTGCCCCAAGGGCACCCCCGGGGCCCAAAAGGCGCGCGAAGCGTGCACGCTGCCTCGCCCCCCTTCGTTCTCGCCCCCCCAAGCAGCAACGCCCCGTCCCCCTCCTGCTCTTTCTGCATACCTCGAGCAGGGGCAGCGCTAAGGGGGGTATCGGCCCATGGGGGGAATATTGTATCGATCTCGAGTCACCCACTAATCGCTGATAGGTGCCTGATTGCCCACCCCGCCCACGTGTTGTTTCGCTATCGGGATCCTATGGCCGACTACCCGTGGTGGCTCGTTGTCGGCTGCCCCTGGTGTTCATGATCAAGCGCAGCGCGTTACGTGCTCGGCAGACTTCGGTCCCGATCGCGACTGGGAGTGATCCGCTGGCCTGCGCTAGTGTCGACGATCGTAACATTATTCAGGCCGTCGGCAAGTGCAGACTGTATGGGGAGTGCGTCTACACGGTTGTATAGTATCGCTTGGGTCCAGCAAGCCTTGGATGTGGGGAGCACCAACGCCCACATTGGGCAATCCCTAACGTAGTGTGGTTTAACACGTACGTGCAGGCAATCACAGATATGATAGTCGTCGTTGGAACTATATAGTGGTGAGCCGTGTCCAGGAAATGACGGTAATCTAATACATTATTCATTGTCGTGGTGTTGGTGATGTTGATGGTGTGCTGGTGATGGTGGTGATTGGGGGTGATGATCACAACGATCATATTGCAGAGAGCCGTCGCGACGTCGTACCACCAGCCAGCGCAATCACGCCTCGAATGCAGAGGCCGAAGCGGTGCTTCTTCTGGCGCCCCGAGTGACCTCGAATGCAAACTGCCTTGCACGCCGGTCGCTGAAAGTAGGTACTTTAGGATTCCCAGATCCCAAGGTACTTCAAGCGCCTTCCTACCTCAAGAGCCGACATGCTTTTGCTGTGTTTTGTTGTTCTCTGGGAGGACCTGGGCCCAATCTGCCATACCCGCCTTCCTACTTCATGCTTCTGCCCACTTCTTCCGACCGACGTGCATCACCTCCTGCTCTTCCGGCCCTTCCCCCCTTCCTCCGCTCCCTCCCCTTACCAGCCTGGAACATATCCCAATCCCTATGATGGGCACCTCCTCATCACGATGTCAATCTTAGAGATTCCCTTATTTTTTGAGGGCGAACCCCTGAGATTGTCATCTCCTTTTGGCGTGTCAATCTTAGGGATAGGTATACGTTCGAGGCTGGTAACTCCCCCCTCCTCCTGCTCCCCGCCCCGCTCCCCGCCCCGCGCCCCACGTGGTGGCCCTGGCGACGACGGCGGTGCCCGCCGGCCCGGGTCCACTCGCGCAGCGGCGCAAGTCGTGCATGCCCAGGGCGCGCGGCGGCCCATCCGTGGGACGATGGCCATGGTCGTTTAGCCACCCTGGCCGTGAGGGGGGGGTCCCGTGTTGCGGGGGGTTCGGTTCGTCGTCGTCTTCTTTTTCGGGGGGCTCGCCCATACTCGGCTTGTATAGCCTAATTCCCGACATGACTCATCAGCTTGACAACTGATATCCCTGACTGCGGCTGGCGATTTGGCCACCGCCTTTCACACAGACGGCGGCCAGGACCAGTGCGGCGGCCAGCAGTCTCCTCCTCGGCTGCTGGTTGCCCCGCTTGGCTCTTTCACAGTTGATCCCACCCTGGGGTGGCCTCGCGGCGGCTCCAGGGCGGTTTCTTCTTAACAGCATTTGACTTTTCTCGGCCTCCGGCAGAGGGCGTCTACGGCATAGGCATTGTGTCGCCATCAACAGCAACCACCCTGGCCGTGGAGATAACGGGGCTGGATGAGGAGGAGGGGGAGAGAGGAGAGAGGAACGTATGTCGGAGGAGGGGGAGGATGGAAGGAGAAAGAAAGGAACGAGGAGTGAGGAGGAGGTGGAGGAGGAAAAGGAGGAAGGAAGGAAAGGAACATATTGGCGACGATGTTGCTGCTGATGCTGCTGCTGATAATGCTGACGGTGATGATGTGTGATGCTGATGCTGATGATGATGCTGATGATGATGGGGATGGGGCTGACGACAAAGACGAAATTCATGCTGATGATGACATTGTGGCTGATAGTTGTAGTGATGATGCAGATGATGATGATGCTTTAGTGGATGATACTGATGATGCGGATGGTCATGATGATGTGGCTAACGATGAAAATGTCGAAACAGACGTTTGGGTTGACGATGGTGACGGCGATGCTGATGATATTGATGCCGACTATGATCATGCTGCTGATCATGATGAGGTTCATGACGATGAGGATGACGATGATGATGATGTTGATGAACGCTACATTGACCACGCGAGTGATAAAATGATGAAAATGCCGATGATGCGGATGTTGGTGATGATGATGACGATGACCATGCTGCTGGTTAGCATGATAATGAATACCCGCATGACGATGATTCCGATGCCGAGTGTGCAGTGGATGGTGATGTTGGGGAGGAAGATGCGTGTGATGTTTTTCACGCATATGATTTTTCAATGTTGATGTTGATGGTGCTGGTGATGATGATGCTGTTGATGAGGATGATGTTGACGACGATTACGGTTGCCATGGTCGTGATGATGGTGATGATTTTGACGATGTCGATGATCAGGTTGGTGATGCCGTGCCGATTGTGCTGTTCATGTTGATGCATGTGATGCTGAGACGGGTCATGTCCGTAATGGTGGTGTTGACGATGCTTGTGGTAATGGTGGTGCGAGCGGTAGTGATGATGGCCAGGAGGAGGATGAGGATGACGATGACGATGATCACCATTGTAATTTTGTTGCCGACGATTAGGTGGCTGCTGCTGAGGATGATGCGGATCATGCGGATGACGGCGACGACGATGTTCATGACGATGATGATGTTGATGGCAATGGTCTTGTTACTGACTGTGATGACGATGCGGATGGTCAGGTTCATGATGATTATGATCATGTTGATGATGATGAGGATCATAAAAGGTGCTATGATGATGGTGAGGATGTTGATGATGCTGGTGATGTTCATGCTGCTGCATATGGGGATGCCGATGATGACGGTGATGCTGTTGATGGTTGTGTCCCAAAACATCATGTGGTGTTGGGTCCTCGTTTTGAAGAGACGGTCCCCGCGTTTTCTTCCTTCCTTCCTTCTTTCCATCATCCTCCTCCCTCCTCCTCCCTTCTCCATCCTCCTTGCGTTTCACCCACCCAGTACAGCGCTTCGTGGCCCCATGGGAAGCTCCTCCGAAGGCCCCAGTGCCACCGCCCGCATACGTTACCCACACCCATGTCGGCACACCCCTCACACGCTTCGTGGCCCCATGGGGAGCTCCACCGAAGGTCCCAGTACCACCGCCCGCATGCGTCACCCACACCTATTTCGTCACACCCGTAAGACGCTTCGTGGCCCCATGGGGATCTCCACCGAAAGCGTCAGTGCCACCGCCCGCATGCGTCACCCACGCACATTGGGGCATACCCCTCACGCGTTTTGTGGCCCCATAGGAAGCTCTACTGAAGGCGCCAGTGGTTGCGTTCGCATGCGCCCACCGCGCCCATTTCGGCACACCCCTCACACTCTTCGTGGCCCCATAGGGAACTCCACCGAAGGCCCCAGTACCACCACCCGCATGCGTCACCCACACTTGTTTCGTCACACCCCTCAGACGCTTCGTGGCCCCATGGGGAGCTCCACCGAAGGCCCCGGTGCAACCGCCCGCATGCGTCACCCACACCCATGTCGGCTCACCCTTCACACGTTTCGTGGCCCCGCAGGGAACTCCACCGAAAACCCCAGTGCCACCGCCCGCATGCGTCACCCACGCACATTTCGGCACACCCCTCACACCTGTCGTGGCCCCATGGGGTGCTCCACCGAAGGCCCAAGTGCCACCGCCCGCATGCGTCACCCACACCCATGTCGTCGCACCCCTTCACGCGTTTCGATGCCCCATAGGGAGGGAGTCCCACCGCAGGCCCACACCTCTTACACGCTTCGTAGCCCCATAGGGAGCTCCAGCGAAGGCCCCGGTGCAACTGCCTGCCTGCGTCACCCACGCCCATTTCAGCACACACCTCTCACACGCTTCGTGGCCCCATAGGGAGCTCCACCGAAGGCCCCAGTGCCACCGCCCGCACGCGTCACCCACACCCATGTCGCCACACCCCTAACACGTTTCGTGGCCCCACAGGGAGCTCCACCGAAGGCCCCAGTGCCACCGCCCGCATGCGTCACCCACACTTATTTCGGCACACCCGTCACACCTGTCGTGGCCCCATAGGGAGCTCCTCCGAAGGCGCCAGCTCCGCACCCATTTCGGGGCACCAGTGGCTGCGTTCGCATGCGCCCACCGTGCATATTTCGGCACCTCTCACGCGTTTCGTGGCCCCATAGGTAATTCCACCGACGGCCCAAGTGGCTGCTTTCGCATGCGCCCACCGGACAATTTTTGGTACATCCCTCCCACGGTTCGTGGCCTTTAAGAAGCTCTTCCGAATGCGGTGCATACAACGAGGGTGTTCACAATTGTATATGGTTGGGTCTTTCGCCAGGCTAATTAATGGTGGTGTTGCTGATAATGCTGCTGCTGCTGATACTGACGATGGTGAGGACACTGATTCTATGTATGATGATGGCGCGGAGGAGCAGGAGGATGAGGAGGAAATGAAGGAGGCGGACGAGGACGAAGACGATATCGATGAGGAGGAGGAGGAGGAGGGGGAGGAGGAGGAGGAGGAGGAGGAGGAGGAGGAGGAGGAGGAAGAGGAGGAGGAGGAGGAGCATGGTGAGGAGGGGCAGGAAGAGGCGGATACCGAGGATACCGAGAAGGATGAGGGTGAATGGAGGGGACGGGAGGCCCCCAGGATAGCATAGGCGCCCTTTAGACACGTCCCCTCACCCGCATCCCGCTTCTTCTGGCCTCCTCCCCTTCCTCCTCCATTACTCCTCCATCTCTTACTCCGAGGAGGGGCCAGGGGGGAAGGGGGAAGGGGGAGGAGTGAGGCAATCATTGTTCCCTTCTGCTCCTCTCCGCCCTGACCCCCCCCCCTATCTCCCGCCTCCCCATCCTCTCCCATCCTCCTCCTCCCTCTGCAGCTGCTCCTCGCCATTCCCCCCCCCCTGCCCTCCCTCCCCCATTCGTCTCCCTCCCCATCCGGAATCCACATTCTCCCCCGCCTCTTCCATCCCATCCTCGTGCTGCTGTCCGTCCTTCTCGCCCCCGTTCGCCCCCCAGCTGCTCGATTCTCGCCTCCGTCGCCTCCCTCCCCCCTCCTCTCCTCCAGGTCGTCTCCCCTCCAGTGCTCCTGCTTCCTGCCTCCTCCCCCCACGCACACGTTCCTCCCCCTTCCCCCCCTTTTTCCTCCCCCCCTCCTCCTCCGCCTCCTCCTTCTCCTCCTCGTCCTCGTCCTCCTCCTCCTCGTCGTCCTCCACCTCCTCCGCCGCCTCCTCCTCCTCCTCCGCATCCTCCTCCTCCACCTCCCCCACCCCGCGCTCTCCGATTTTGTTTGACATGTGTCTCAACATTTCCCTGAATCCTCCATCACAGATGTTGATCCCCAGCCCAATGCAATGCAACACGATGCGACGCAGTGCAACGCACGGCTCTGCGACGCAATGCGTCGCGTGTCAGCGCCGCGGGGGCCCAAGAAAATCCATCGATCGGCCAGTGTCTGCACACCCGTCGCACGGATCGCGCCTCCGGGGCCAGAGGTCGTCTGAGGCCTTGGAATTCGTGTGTGTGGAACCAGACTTTCGAAATTTACCACTGCCGCTTTGGATCCCCCACCCCCGCTGGAAGGACTTCGCCCTGGGATTCCAGCTCCATCTCCAGCCTTATGCTGCATCCTCGGGGGACCTTATCTGTCCCGTCGCGGCCCTATCCGCGTCGAATCTGTGTCGAATCCATGTCGGCCTCGTCTGATCCATGTCGAATCCGCGTCGAATCCACGCCGAATCCGCCTCGAGTCCGCATTGAGTCCGCGTCGGGCACAAGAAAACGTCCAAATTTTGGGGACAGGCGAGGTCCCCCGAAGACGCAAAGTGACCAGCCCCCCCCCCTCTCGGCCGTGGGAGGGCGGCCCAGACGACCGTGGCAATGATGGCGTGAGATCTCGGCGCGCGGGCCCTCCCCGCCCTGGCGTGGCGCCTGGCGTCCCAGCGGCAGGCTGCCGTCTCCGCCGGGAGCGGCCGCGCCGTGGCGAGGCCGCCGGCGTCTGCCAGGACCGTGTCGGTCGGAGCTCTTGGCATCGCTCGGACGCGTGCGTTTTCTCCTTCGGCGAGGGCCATCGAGGAGCATCCTTGATCATTTGGCGAAAACGCCACGCACGAAACCGGAACAAAAACACACAGGGAATGGACGTCCGAGCGGTGGCGAGGGCTCAAGAGACGGGGGTCAGTGCAAACAGGGGTCAGCCAGGGCACCGGATTCAGAGGATCCCCGATTCGGTGGTCTTTGATGTGTGGGTGGATTCGTGCGCAACGGCCGCGCACAGCAGGCAAGGGGGCAGGAGGAGCACGCAGCTGACGAGGAGGAGCTGCAGGGAAGCAGCCGCTGGCACACGGGCTGGGCCAGAGGCCAGGCCGACCAGGCGGCGAGGCCAGAGGCTGGCACACGATGGTGGCGAGGCCGACGGGGCGGCGCTGGCGGAGTGGGCGACTGGGCAGTGGACGCCGGTTTCGTCGGGGTGGGGGGGATCGTGAGGTGTGGGGGATGAGGGAGGGCAGGAGGAGGGGCAGTATGATGAGGATAGTGGTGGTTGTGGTGATGCTGGCGGTGGTGATGATGATGATGATGATGATGATGCTGATGCTGATGCTGATGCTGATGCTGATGATGATGATGATGATGATGATGATGATGATGATGTTGAGAGTGATGATGATGATGATGATGATGATGATGATGATGATGATGTGAGTGATGATGATGATGATGAAAATGATGATGATGATGATGATGATGATGATGATGATGATGACGATGATGACGATGCTGATGATGATGATGATGATGATGATGATAATGATGATGATGCTGCTGCTGCTGCTGCTGATGATGATGATGATGATGATGATGATGATGATGATGAGAGTGGTGATGATGATGATGATGCTGATGATGGTGGTGATGATGGTGGTGATAATGATGACGGTGTTGGTCGTGGTTGTGACGACTGTGATGATGGGGTGGTCATAGTGGCTGTGGCGGTGATGGTGATGATGGTAGCGATTGCGATGATGATGGTGATGGTCGGGGGACGAGAATGGGGGCCTGGGCGGAAGAAGAACAGACGGGGAGGAGATGCGCGGGAGGTGGGGATTGAGAGCCAGTCAGCGTTCTCGGGGAACGCAGGAGGACGTGGGCGGGAGTGTGCGAATGACGTAAAACGGCGACGCCGATGTTGGTAAAAAAAGGCGGTGGTGGCGATCCTTGTGTGGCGGTGATGGTGGATGTGGGGATGCAGGTGGTGGTGGTGGCGGCGGCGAGGATGGCAACGATGACGACGATTGCAACGATGACCGTGGTTTCGCTGATGATGAGGGGCGCAATTGTGCGGTTGCTGCCCCGCGCAGCTCTTGCTCCTGACCCTGCTCCTGCTCCTTCTTTTGGTCGCCCTTCCACCCCAGTCCTGCTTCATTATGCCCTCGCGCCCCCGCGCTTCTGCGCTTCTGTCGTCTCCTCGGCAGCGGCGGCGCTGAAATGAAGGAGCAATTCTTCATTTAAACAACGGGGGGCTTGGGGGTCCTTTTGGGGCCTCTTTCGGACCTGTTGGAAGGTTCCTGCGGCCTCTTGGGGGTGCACGTGTGGGCCTCGCTGGCGCCTGCTGGTGGTTTCAGGGGTCCTTTCGGGGCGGGGCTCGACATGGCGGCTGGTTGGGCCTCCTCGGAGTCTTGCTGAACTCTTGGGCCGTGTTGGGGCACGCCCTGGGCCGTCTTGGAGTCCTCTTGGGGGTTTTTGGGCCGTTGGGAGGCATCTTCTGACGCCCCCCATTGTACCACGATGATGGGGTTCTTTTCCATCCTTCCCTCCCTTCGGTTTACTCTTGTTTTTTGTTCCTCTTGCTCCCTATTCACATGTGTCTTTCTTTCCCCACACCCCGTCCCATTACGGCATTCTGATCGTCTCTTTGCTCCTGGACGGCAGTCTATGAACATTTTGGATCAGCGATCGGATTTCCCCTCGTTATCCCCCTCTCCGTTGTGCTTTTTCCCCTTCCCCTCGTCCACCCGCCGCCACGCTCTCCCGCGAAGGACGGCGGGCCAGCCAGCATGCTCTCCACGAGCGTGGACCCGTTTGACGTCGCCAGGGAAGAGGTGGAGGCGGCAGTGCGGAAAGTTCAGTTCATGCACAAAGAGTGGAGGCTCGTGGGTGTGGATGGGGGCGGGGCGCATGGTTTCTGTTTGCCCAGCCGATCAGAGTCGACATCGATTGTGGCCCGTTCGGTCCAGTTTGATTTCCGACATTCCGACGATCCGACGCGGCCCGATGCCTGCATGGCGCCTGCGTAGGCCGTGGCGCAGCCGACCCGATTCGATCTCGACCCCATGCCGGCACTGCCCGATCCGAGGCGCGTCCCGGGCCGATCCGGCTCCCCGATTCGGTGCCGAGTGATCCTGGTGAGTGAGGAGGAGGATGAGGAGGAGGAGGAGGAGGAGGAGGAGGAGGAGGAGGAGGAAGGAGGAGGAGGAGGAGGAGGAGGAGGAGGAGGAGACGCGGGCCTGCCCCGGCACGGCTTCGCTGTTTCCGCTCGGCCCCAGGTGCGCTGGCAGCGGTCCGCGTGTGCCTGCGACCGCTCGGGAGGCAGCGAGCACCGGCTGTGCTCGTCACCGCGCTCGTCAGCTCGTCTGGATCGTTGCATCGCGGGCATGAGCGGCTGCAGCTCAGGGGTGCGAAGAGCATTCCCAGCCTTGGGTGATGGGCCACTTTCCCACCACCAATACCATGGGTACGACGGGGGAGACGGGAGGATGTGGAGGTCCTGCTCCTGCTCCTCCTCCTCCTCCTCCTCCTCCTCCTCCTCCTCCTCCTCCACCCTCTCCTGCCTAATTATGGTGGTGATGGTGGAAAATCGGCCCATCATTGGGAGGGGTACCCTCCACGGTTTTCGCGTGTGTGGATGCTCCATGGGGCAAGTGGGCCTTCGGCGGAAGGTTTCGCGTTCTGGTCACGCCAGTTTTTTGAAACATCGGATGCCGGCAGGTGTTTGCCTGCACGGGGGGGGGGCTCCCTGGCGGGCCCCAGAAGGAACGCTGGCTCTCGCGCTGGCCTACAGATTCCTGGACGCTCGTCTCGCCCAGCACTGCGTGCGATCGAAGAAAAACAAGCGGCACAGACATAATCATACACGTCTGGCGCTCCGCGCTGATTTCTTGGATCTGCGCTTGGGCCCCCCGGCAGCGCCTCCAGCGCCGCCCCTGGCGCGCTCCGAGTGCCAGGGGGGATCCGCGCGGATCGTCGGCAGTGCATGTTATGCCGTTTTTCTTTTTCTATGCGAAGGAGGCGATGGGTGGGTGGGAGGCAATATGTTGTGCAAGCAAGCCTGCCACAACTTGAAGGAGAAAGATGCCTAAAGTTGTGTGCCAGCAAGATGACGTGGGAGGTTCCCATGGGTGGCCACATGAGGTCTGGCTTCTCAAAGGCGCTCCTGGTCCGCGCATGGCTGGTGTCAACCGTACCGCGCTGGCTTCGCCGAGGCGTCGTCGATCCTCGACCTGGGAGTAACACGGTGCTCAGTCCTGTTCGGCCCTCCGAGCCGAAACGCTATGCACCGTACCGCACTGAGGCGGGCCGTACAGGAAGTCCAGACAGGGTGTAGGTTAGGAGGTGACCAAAACACACACACAGACACAATTAATCGTCGATTGCCCAGAGAATGTACGAACATATGGGAATTGGGGGGAAGACAAACACCCAGAGAATATGGGAAAATATATGGGGAATCGGGTTGTTTGTGTCTATTCATTTGTGTGTCCCAGTTTCCCTTCAGTTGATTCCTGCGACGCGGGAGCACCAAGGAACATGGGAACGCCTCTGAACCGACGGAATTCAACCTTGAACGACCGGGGCCTCGATCGATTCGAGGTTGAATCAGGCTGTCGTGTGCAGGTTGGGGCACTTTTCAGCGGAGCAAGCTGGCGGGCCCCGGACTGCCAGCTAGATGGACTCAGCGGTGGGCCCGGTCGAGATGAAAAGCAAGAATTGCAGTTTTGTCCGTGCACCCCCTCCTCCTTTTCCTCCTCTTTCGCCTGCTCCTCCTTTCCCTCCTCCTCATCCTCCTCCTTGTCCTCCTCTTCCTCCTCCCCCTTACGCCTCTCCCGAGTGCGGGGGGATGCGCCCAGTGCGATAACCCCTCACCCGCTCCATCCAAACAACTTCGGAGAGATTCGGCCCAGTGTCGAAGCGGGCTCGAGAGGCTCCATAGGCCATGGGTCCCGCAGGCTTCCCGCTGCAAGGCCGAATGATTTAGGCGCTAGCCAGCAGCTATCAGCTCGAAGTTCAGTCGAGTGTAGCCTCGTCGCAGCGGCGAGACGGAGGTCACGTAACTGCCAAGGCTTCCGACTCCTCCACCACCTCCTCTTGGCATCGCTCGGACGTGTGCATTTTCCCTTCGGCGAGGACCATCGAGGAGCATCCTTGATGATTTGGCGCAAAAGCCACGCACGAAACCGAAAAAAGCACAGGGAATGGACGTCCGAGCGATGCCCAGTCCTCCTCCTCGAGGACAAATCATGGGGGGTGCTGTCCCCCATATGTGGCGGGGCCCCAAAGGAAGAGAACGGCTACCCAACCTCTGGTCGCATCGGACCGCGAGGCCCGCCTCTAGGGGAGAGCTCGTCCCGGACAAGGTGGGCGGCTGCCGCCGCCTGCCTGTCTTCATCCTGCTCCTCCTTCTCCTTTCTTCCTTCTTCATCCTTTCTTCATCCTTTCCTCCTCCGCCTCCTCCTCTGCTTCCTCGAGATCCTCTCCTCCTATTCCTCCTCCTCCTCCTCCTTCCCCTCCTCCTCCCCCTTCCTCCAACTCCTCCTCTTACTCCTTCCCATTCCTGCACCTCTTCCTCCTCATCTCTCCTTCTTCTCCTCCTCCTCTTTTTTCCTCCTCTTCCCCCTTCCTCTTATCAGTATTCGTAGTACTTATACAGTTTGCAATCTTATTTAGACGTGTCGTTAACATTCTTGCTAGTTTCAAAAGTGTCGCTCTTTTATTGCCATATCTTGTAATGTGGTATATCATATCACTCGTATTATGAGTCGTTTCATTGTTATGTGTGCATGGTTAGTATTATTATTATTGGTAGTATCGTTATGAATGTTATCATAGTTAGTATTACTCTTATTGTTAATGCTGTTTTAAGAATGGTTATTAGTTGAACTATGATTTGTCGCACTCGCAATCGTAATATCATCCCTCTTCCTCGTCCTCCTTCTCCTTCTCGCCCTCCTCCTCCTCCTCCCCCTCCTCCCCCTCCCCTCCTCCTCCTCCTCCTCCTCCCCTCCTCCTCCCCCCTCCTCCTCCTCCTCCCTCCTCCTCCTCCTCCTCCTCCTCCCCTCCTCCCCCTCCTCCTCCTCCTCCTCCTCCTCCTCCTCCTCCTCCTCCTCCTCCTCCTCTCCCTCCTTCTGCCCCCCCCCCCGGCCCGGAGGCGCGCCCTCGCCACCCCCCCGCGCACGCCCCGCCCGCGCCCTTTGCCCGCGCTTTCGCGCCGCGCCCGAGGCGGCTCCTGGAGGCCGAGAACACCGCGGAGAGCCGGCGCTTCGAGGAGCCGCCGCGCCTCGGCCCGCCGCCCGCTCCTCTCGGCAGCTCGCGGGGGACGTCGTCGTCGACGACGTCGTCGTCGTCGACGTCGTCGTGGTCGTCGCCGTCGTCGTCGTCGCCGACGTCTTCGTCGCCGACGTCTTCGTCGTCGACGTCGTCGTCGTCGCCGTCGTCGTCGCCGACGTCGTCGTCGTCGTCGTCGTCGTCGTCGCAGACGTCGTCGTCGTCGCGTTTTTTTTGTTGTTGTTTTTTTGTTCCCCCCCGAGCTTCCCGGGGGGGCCTCGAGCCCAGACCCCCTCGAGTTCTGAAAAAATCACGACGGGAGGGTTTTCATGATTTTTGGCCTCTGGGGGCCCTTTACCGGCCCTCGGGGCCGTCACAAAACGACTCAGGACGAAAAACCGGTCCCGGGGAATGGGTCCAGGCAGCTGGGGGTGGACGTCATCAGAAATTCACGACGTCGGGGGCCTCGAGTGGACGTCCGAGCGATGCCGAGTCAGGGGAGGCCCGGGGGGCAGCGGCATGGCTGCCTTGCTTCAGGAGCGAAAGAAGGACGTACACGTACATGAATCCACGCCGGTTTCGAGAGTACGCATTTCCCGAAATTTCGTATCACGCGGCCCGTCTCGCAGATCGAGGGGCCGTGTTCATGTACATAGCTGGGCGCGTACGTCCTTTGTGGGCTCCCTATTGCTCCGCCGCGTCCCTCCTGGCCCCGGTCGGGCATGGCCAGGACCCCAGGCAAGGGGCCCCGGTCAGTGGTAGGGCCTTGGAGCCCCTGAATCGTCGGGGGCGGACAAGAGGGGGGTGATGACTAGGGGGGGGGTGGATATCATGGCGCGGGCCATGATAGTTCCCCAGATGTCATGGCGCCTCTTCTTATTTTATGACGTCCCAGGCACCCCCGCTGGGCCGCGCACGTGCCGCCGGTCATGATTTGCACCCCCCCCTCTTGGACACCCCCCTCTTGGCCGCTCCCGAAACGACAGGGCCGTTTTTTAACCGGTTCCGTTTTGCCGTTTTTGTTGCCGGGTCCGACGCCGTTGTTTTGCCGGTGCCGTCGCCGTTGTTGGACTGGTTCCGGCTCCGGTTCCAATCCTGGAGCCGTTTTTTTTCGCCGTTTCCGGTCGCCGTTTTTGTGCCGCTTCCATTTTCAAGGGATTTTTTTTCGGAAACGGTGAAAAAAACGGCCCTGCCGTTTCCGGGGCCCACAAAGGTCGGGAGCCTTGAGACGGGGGTCAATGCAAACGGGGGTCAGCCAGGGCACCAGATCCTGCAGGATCCTGCGAAGACCCCCCCTGGCTGACCCGGGTCAGCGAGCCGCTCGTGGCCGCGAGGCGGCCGTGCAGATTGGCTGACCCGTGTCTGCGACGACCTGCGCTGCAGTTTTTGTTGTTCCTGCACTGCAGTTGTTGGTTTCCTGCTGACCCGGGTCTGGATTGACCCGGGTCAGAAGATCCCCGAGGCAGCTCGCGGGGGGCCCCCTCCGGCTTCCCTGGGGGCCTAAGGATCGTCTAGCGTGCTTAAATCAGGAGCGACAAAAGGACGTACACGTACATGAATCCACGCTGCTTTCGAGAGTACGCATTGCGCAAATGTTCGTATAACGCGGCCGGTCTCGCGGATCGAGGGGCCGTGTTCATGTACATAGCTGGGCGCGTACGTCCTTTGTAGGCTCCCTATAAAAACTCCCTTCCGCCTGCGAGCCGCAGCCCCTGGCCCGGACCAGAAGGGAGCGAGCAGAGGCCGCAGCCGGCCGCGCCTGGCCGCCTTCGCGGGCGGGCGCGCGCGAGGCGAAGGCGCTGTGCTGCTGGAGGAGGGGGAGGAGGAGGAGGAGGACGAGGACGAGGACGAGGGACTGGGGGGGAGAGGACAAACACGGCGAGCAGGCGCCGACATGGGCCTCTGGGGCACTCTTGGTGGCCTCCTCGGGGCCTCTTGGCGCCCCCTGGGAGCGCCTCGGGGCCGAGGGCTCGAACTGCTCGCTCGGGCTCCCGTGCGGGCACTCCCCTGGGGCCATTTTGGGGGCCCTTTGGGCCGTCTGGGAGGCCTCTAGGTCACCACCCACCAAACCACCCCAACCCAACCCGAAGGTCTCGATTTGCTCTCCATTTCCAGTTGGGGGGGGGGTCGGGGAACATCGAGAAAACACATATGGAAGCCGTACCCCCCAACCCGAAATTCGGGTCTTCGGGTTGGGTTGGGGTGGTCTGGTAGGTGGTCACTCTAGGGCCGTTATGGGGCCCTCGTGGGTCGTTTTGGGGCCGTCTTGGAAACCTCTTGTCCCGATCTTGGTGGCATCTTGGGCCGTCTTGGGGTCGACGGGAAGCCGACGCGGCGACAGCGCACGAATCTTTCAAAAGCTTTAAGCAAATCATTAATTCTTGCCTGTTGGGGCCCTCTTGGTCTGCTCTTGGAGGCCTCTTCGAGCGTCTTGGCAGCTGCTTGGACTGTCAGGAGGCCATCTGGCGTCTTGGACCGATTGTTCGACGATTCGGAGCCCTCTTGGATAGTCTCGGGGGCCCATCGGGCTGTCTTGGTGACTTTTCGGGGCCTGTGACCCCCCTGGGGAGGATGGTATTCTGATCCAGGACCCCACCATGACCTCCTCCCCCCAGACCCCTCCCCACGGGACCTCCCCCCCGCGGGGAAGCGATCAAAGGGAAGTGGCTTCCCTTCGACTCAACTACGACGTTGTTCAATTTCGCTTGGTTTCGCTTTGACCGGCTCGCTCGAGGAGAAGGGCCCAGTGAACGGGGGGGGGAGTGGCGACGGGGCCAGGGAAAGGGGGGTCAAACGCCACGGCGACGGCGACGACGACAACAGGGACGACGACGACGACCACGACGACCACGACGAAGCCGACGCCGAGTCAGACAGAACAGCGTCTTCCACACACCGACAGGGTCGGCGGACTATCAGGAAGGGAGGTGGAGTGTGCCAGGAGGTTAGCGTTAAGTCGGGCCTGTCCCTATACAGGGGGATTTTCAACGAAAATGTTTCAAAAATACCCCAAAAATGCCCCAACAAGGTCAAACAATACTCAACAAATAATCCCCAGACCAGTTTTGGACTACTGTTTGACTATTTTTGCATATATTTTTTTGGGGTCGAAAATCCCCCTGAAGGGGGACAGGCCCGACTTAAGGTTAGCGGTGGCGGCGGGGCGGGGGGGGAAATGGCGGCAACGGGGTGGCGGGCACGCGTTGGGCCCTCCGCACGCGCCGAGGGGAGCGGGGGACGGGCTCCGCAGGACCTGCAGGCGGAGCTGCGGGGCGAGCTGCAGCAGCTGGACTACGACCTGCAGGAGGTGGACGGGAGCATTGCCACCGTGGAGGAGAACAGGCCGCCCTTCCCCCTCCTCCTCCTCCTCTTCTTCCTCCTCCTCCTCCCCCCCCTCCTCCTCCTCCTCCTCCTCCTCCTCCTCCTCTTTCCCCAACGCTCGCTCGGACACGAAGCCAGCGGGTGGCATCCCGTCTTGTCGAACATGAGAGGGCGGGCCCTCCGATTTCTTTGACTCAGCTCTATCGTCTCTCGGGTGATGCAAAGGGCCTGGATGATAGAGAGGGGGCCGTCAACTGAGAGGGAGGCATGAGCAGTCGCTGCATATTTTTTCATGCGGGGAAGGCTGAGGATGCCGAGGAGGACGGAGAGGCGAAACAGGGAGGGTGGTGAAGAGAATGATGAGAGGGGGAGCGTGCTGGGTAGACATTGCGGTTGAGGCGGAGGGGGAGAGGGGGAGGGGGGGAGCGGGGGGCGGAGGAGGAGGTCTTCTGATGATCACGGGCAAGATGCGTGTTGAGGAGACGGTTGGGCCCTTGATGTTGGTGTGGATGTTTATGGATGATTATGATGATGTTGGTGTTGATGATGTTGATGATGCTGATGTTGATGCTGATGACGATGGTGATGACGATGGTGATGTTGGTTGTGGTGATGCTTGTGAAGAGGAGGGGCAAGGTGACGCTGATAATGACGCTGATAATGACGATGATGATGTTGGTGATGGTGATGGCGATGGTGATGATTCGGTTTCTGATGATAGCGATGGTGATGATGACGAGGAGAAGGGGGAGGATGATGATCATGAGGAAGAGGAGGAGGAGGATGCGGAGGAGGATACATAGAGATATTGAGCGAAGAGTGAGAGGAGTCGCTGCTGGAATTTGGTCAACATGAGGGTACCGATTGCGATGAGGCGGTGGGTGCGGACAGGAACGATGGTGGCTATGCTGCTGTTGAGGATGTTGGCGGTGGCGATGTTGATGATGAAGAAGCGGGTGAGTGGACCACATTGAACTGTGATGTAGGCCCACGAAGGTAGCTTTAACCCAAAGGATGAAGGCGCTCAAGTGGACTGATTTGCATGATCTTCAAGGCCATCTCACAAGATGCCCGCATCATCGTAGCATGTGCTTGCAACGTGGGAGCCTGAGTGAGATGACGATGCTGACGGTGGTGCTGATTATGTTGAGGATGATGAGGACGATAATACTGCGCATGATGCCGATGCTCATACTGATGATGCTGATGATGAGTATGCTGACGCTGCTCATGCTGATGCTGATGCTGATAATGCTGGGGCTGATGCTGCTGATGCTGCTGATGATGCTGATGGTGATGATGTTGATGTTAATGGTGATGCTGCTGTTCACAATGATACTGATTCTGATTGCTATGATGACGGTGGTGGTGGTGATGATGATGCTGATGCTGACGAGGGGGATGCTGATGATGCTGATGATGCTGATGGTGCCGACGAGTATGATGGTGGTGGTGATGCTGATGCTGACGATGATGAGGATGATGCTGTGCTGCTGCTGCTTCAAATGCTTTTGATGATGATGATGATCATGGTGAGGAGGACGAGGAGGCGGAGGAGGACCAGCATAGGGGGTTGGAGGAGAGCATGGGGCACAGGAGGTGCGGGGTGTCGAATGTGCATCTGGAGGCGAAGGGGGCGGGGATGAGGATGAGGATAAGATCAAGAGAGAGTACACGGGAGGTGAAGCACGGGAGGTGAGAGGGAGGTAGAGGTGGATGGGGGGGGGCGTGGGGCGGAGAGCAACAGGAAGCGAGCAAGGGATCAGGAGGTGGCAGCGAAAGTGGGGGAGGGGATGGGGAGGGGGAGGGGAGAGAGCAGGAAGAAGATGATTTGGAAGAGGATTTGGGGGGGAGTACGAGGAGGAGGGGAGGTCGCGAGGGATGTGGAGCAGGAGCAGTAGGAGGAGAAGGAGGAGGAGCAGTAGGATGAGTCGGAGGAGGAGGACGCGAGGGGGGATAAGGATGCGATCGGGGATGATGAATGAACACGAGAAGCGAGGGATAGGATTCCGATGTGGACGATAATGTGGGATGATACCGATCTGGAGCACGAGGATGATCGGGAGCCGGATGAGTATTATCTTGAGGTGGCTGTCGTTTTCGAGTTGGCCAGGTGGGTAACGTTAGATCTGAGAGCAGTGCAGTCCGAGCAGTGATCGTGATGGGCAATTGGCCACCAAGGTCTCGTTTCTTGCTGGACGACGCCCAGATCGCGTCGAGGAAGGCCTTCCTGCAGAGGGCCCGTGCGGCATACCAGGACCTCCTCCTCTCCCTGTGCCCGCCTTCTCCTCCAGCTGCTTCCCTTCCTCGTCGCACGTCCTGGGGGGGACCTCGAGGGCTCTTCTTCGAGACGGTCTCTGGGAGCCGTCTGGGGGCCGAGCACGCCCCTGGAGGGCAGCACCACCCGGGGAGGGCGGCTTGCACAGGCCGATCGCTTGTACAGTGCCGTTTTTGATACATGCTCCGCACGCGGATCGTGTATTAAACATGCACGGGTTTAGTACTAAAAACAACGATGAGGTCATGCATAAATCTATTCATACATTAATAACGTATGAACAACCATATCTTTGTGAACATCCTATGTATTAGACATTGCCCTGTATGGGGGGTGGGGGTCGGCCCCGGAAGTGCGGAGGCACCGTAGCAGCCAGACAAAATAGTCAACGAGGACAAGTCCACGAGGGCGCCCTCGAGGAAGCGCGAAGTTCTTCGCGCTTTTCGCGGTCCTCGTTCCTCCTCCTCCTCCTCCTCCTCCTCCTCCTCCTCCTCCTCCCTCCTCCTCCTCCTCCTCCTCCTCCTCCTCCTCCCTTCCTCCTCCTCCTCCTCCTCCTCCTCCTCCTCCTCCTCCTCCTCCTCCTCCTCCTCGTCCTCCTTTTCTCCCTTTGGGGGGGCGGCGCAAGCGCGCGAAGGTATTCGCACGTCGCGCAGCGCGAAGCGCGAAGTCGGGAGCCCTTGAGTCAGCGAGGACAAATCTACCCCGACCCCCATCATCGGCGTTTACGAAAGGGCCCTGTGCGTTTACGAAACAGCGCTTCCTTGTTCGATCCCTTCGTCGGGTGCGTTTACTAAACGATTGCGTTGTCGGGGTGCGTACTCTCGGGTTGGATCTCCAGCCCTCCAAATAGACAAGCATGACGGAAAGAGCGAGGCACGCGTGATGATATTCAGGTGGTGCGAAGCCCTGTTGGGAGGGGTGCCGGTGGGGGTGGCGAAGCGCTGCCGGGCGGGCGGAAAACGCCTCCCATCTCCCAAGTCGCCCCAAGAGGCCTCCAAGACGGCCCGTAGCCAGTTTGGCTTAAGCCTTGGCCGTGAGTTCTCGTTCCGCGAACTGTTCCTCATCGTATCTCATATCCATGGCCGCCCCTCGCATTTTAGGCGTGCTTCTATGTCTAGTCTTCCACGGCACTGCGTTTTGTTACCCAGTACGCGGCAACGACCCTGTGCCCATCTGAAGAGGAAGTGCCAGAGCGATACAAGGAGCCTTGCAAACTCGCGGACATGGACGAACGCTCGGATAGCCTTAGTTTCGCGGAATGTCTTGCTGGTCACCGGCCGCTCGACGTGAGCCCGCCAACCAACGAGAGGGTGCGATCGTTGGCGTTTGCGTGCGCGTTCGTGAGCCATGCGGCGCTTCTGGTCGGCGCTGCTGCGTATGTGGGTGCGTCCCCACGGATGCTTCTTGGTGTCGCTTCGGAGGGTTTTCAGGGGTCTCCTGTTTAGCAGTTTTGGGGGCTTTCGGGGGCCTCCGGGGTGCGCCTTGGATCCCTCTTGCGGCTCTCTTGGCGCCTCTTGGGGGCCTCTTGGACCCTCTTGGGCGGCTCTTGGGGGCCTCTTTGCGCAGCCTGGGCGCCTCTTGGGGCCGAGGGCTCAAAGTGCCCGTTCGGCTTCCTCCTTCTGGCCCCCCTCTTGGGGCCGTCCTGGGGCTCTCTCTGTCCGTCTTGAAAGGGTTGGGGGCCGTCTTGGGGCCACCTTGGGTCGTGGTGGGGTTCTCTTGGAGGCGTCTTAAGCCGTCTTGGGGCGATCTTGAGGTCTGGGGCGGTCTTGGAGCGTGGGGAAGCCGAAATGGCGAGAACGCGACTGAAAAGGTGAGAACTCTGAAAACCTTCGAAAACCATTGGGAAATTGCTGAATTTTGCCCCTAGGGGGCTTCTTGGGGGTGGTCTTGGAGGCGTCTTCGGGCATGTTGGAGGCGGTTGAAGCCAATCGGAGGCTATGTTGTGCATCCTGGAACGACTTCGGTGGCAATGGGCCCTCTTAGGCTGTCTTGGGGGCCTCTTGACATGCTCTTGAAGGCCCTGATGGCAGCCCCCAAGAGTTCTGGCATCCGTGACGGGGACCGCCTGGGGACCGCCCGGGGACTGCCCGGGATTTGCATGGGGCATTTTCGGGGGCGGACAGAACCCCCAACAGTGACACGTCGATTAGTGAATTGTCCGTTTTCGGTTCTCGAGAGGGCGCCGCGGCCGTTATTTTCCAGCATTGCGCCCGCCAGGTTTGGGCCTCTGGTTTTTTACTAAACCACGTTTTACTACAGGGAGGTCTGTCCAACCCCCGTACAGTCGGGGCGCTGAAGAAGGAACCCTTTTCGTTGGGGAGGGGCTCGGCGTGCCTTGATTGCTTTGCAGTTTGCCCTGGTTGTTCCTGAGGTTTTCACGGGGAGTCAAAGTTTTCAGCTCATGGGAAAGAGAGGCCTCGCTCCTTATTTGAGAGTTCCCGAGGTTTGGGCCTCAGGTCGTCTTCACTAAACCACATTTTACTAAAGGGAGGCCTGTCCATCCCCGAACTCTTCGTCCGGGGGCTCCATGGGGCAGCCACGCGCGCTCGAGAGCCAGAAGTATCTTCGGAAGCTGCAGCGCCAGAGACTAGTTCGCACGCCTCTTGGCCTGCTGGGCCACCGAGTTGCTCCCCCCCTCCTGCCGCGCCCAGGAGGTGAAGGGCGACCTGGACAGCGGCCGTCGGAGCAGAGCAAACGCCACACACATGAGCTGTTGGAGGTCCGCGCGGATTCCTTGGAGCCGCGCTGGGCCGCCCCCCCCCCCGGCGGCGCCTCCCGCGCCTCCCCTGGCGCGCTCCGCGCGACGGGGAGGGGGGTCCAGCGCGGATCCAAGAACTCCGCGCGATGCGCCACAAGTTTACAGCCGAGACGCTGAAATGAGGAACAGTTAGGGGATCCGGATGGGGCTCGATGTGCCTTACGCCCTCCCGTGGTTGCTCCTCCAGCCTTTCTCGTGCACCCGACCTTTTTTTGAAGCCACGGAGGGGTTTCGTTCCTTCTTTGAAGTTCCTCATTTCAGCAGCCCGACTGTATGCTTATCTACCAGCCTCGAACGTATCCCTATCCCTAAGATGGACACGCCAAAAGGCGATGACAATCTTAGGGATTCGCCCTCAAAAAATAAGGGAAGCCCTAAGATTGGCATCGTGATGAGGAGATGCCCAGCATAGGGATAGGGATCTCTTCCAGGCTGGTAACTTGTGACGTTTTTGTTCTTCTGCCAGGCAGGGCGAGGGCGAAGCTGGAGGACGACCGGCGGCGAGCGCTGCAGAGCCGCCGGGAGGAGGCCAGGAGGACGGGGACGGCCCTGCGGCGGGGCGGCCTCCAGTCAGGAGGAGAAAAAACACACAGACATAATTAATCATCGAGTCCCCAGAGAATATGGGAAAATATGGGAAAATATGGAAAGTTGAGGGGAAGAAAAAAGCAAAGAAAATATGGGAAAAGATTGGGAATCCTTTTATTTACCTAACAGCTTGTGCTGATAGGTTTCTAGTAGGGTCACAAGAGAGCATCATGACACTCCAGGGGGGTCCGGGCGGAAGCCGGCAGAAACCGGGAGAATCCGGCGGAGCTCATTCCGTGCGTGCAGGTACGCACGGGAGCCATCTCGGCGCCATCGGAGGTGCGTTCCGTGCGTGCAGGCACGCACGGGAGCCACCTCGGCGCCATCGGAGGTGCGTTCCGTGCGTGCAGGTACGCACGGGAGCCACCTCGGCGCCATCGGAGGTGCGTTCCGTGCGTGCAGGTACGCACGGGAACCACCTCGGCGCCATCGGAGGTGCGCTCCGTGCCCGCAGGTACGCACGGGAGCCACCTCGGCTCCATCGGAGGTGAGTTCCGTGGGTGCAGGTACGCACGGGATCGGCGCCATCGGAGGTGCGGCTGAGGCTGAGGCAGGCTGAGGCTGAGGCTGAGGCTGAGGCTGAGGCTGATGCAGGCTGAGGCTGATGCAGGCTGAGGCCGCAGGAGTATGCGGGAGCGCAACAGGCTGAGGCAGGCTGAGGCTGAGGCTGAGGCTGATACAGGCTGAGGCTGAGGCAGGCTGAGGCCGAAGGGGTATGCGGGAGCGCAGCAGGCTGAGACTGACGCAGGCTGAGGCTGAGACTGGGGCTGATGCAGGCTGAGGCCGCGGCAGGCTGAGCTGACTTGTCCTGTGGAACTCCAGTGTCACAGAAGATGCATCTGTAGCTTCCTCGTCGCATTAGGGGCTCCAGCGTCACCGAATTTGTCCTTTTACCGTCGCTGTCGTGCCGCGGGGCGCTTCAGCGGGCAATCGTGCGCATGAAGTACGCCACGCGCCTGCGCGCTCACGAAAAGGGCGAGGGCGCCCTGTCGCGTGCGGGCGACCGCGCGGGCCTGCCCCCGCAACAGCCAAAAAGGGCATGCCCACACGCCGGGTAAAGCCTAAAAGGGCTTTCGTCTGCCTGTTCCTTGCCTCCCGCTTTCCTCCTTCTTCTGTCATCGACGTCAGACCCCCCCCCTATGACGCTCCCCGCTGGCTTGGGTGGTCTACTCAGGTCGCGGGGGGGGATGTGCCTCTTTTTCACGACGGGGAGGGGGGGGTGCACCGTTCCCTCGGATGGGCACAGCCCCCCCATCCAGGGGCCTCCGAGCCCTCCCTCTCCGTCCTTTCCTTCTCCTCTCCTCCTCGGACTTCAACGCCTTTGGCGTCTCCGACGACCCCCTTGGGGAATTTGAGTAGTAGTAGTAGTAGTAGTAGTAGTAGTAGTAGTAGTAGTAGTAGTAGTAGTAGTAGTAGTAATAATAGTAGTAGTAGTAGTAGTAGTAGTAGTAGTAATAGTAGTAGTAGTAGTAGTAGTAGTAGCAGTAGTAGTAGTAGTAGTAGTAGTAGTAGTCGTAGTCGTAGTAGTCGTAGTAGTCGTAGTAGTAGTAGTAGTAGTAGTAGTAGTCGTAGTAAGTAGTAGTAGTAGTAGTAGTATAGTAGTAGTAGTAAGTAGTAGTAGTAGTAGTAGTAGTAGTAGTAGTAGTAGTATTAGTAGTAGTACTATAGTAGTAGTGGTAGTCGTAGTCGTAGCGTTAGTCGTCGTAGTAGTAGTAGTAGTAGTAGTAGTAGTAGTAGTGGTAGTAGTAGTAGTAGTAGAAGTAGTCGTAGTAGTAGTAGTAGTAGTAGTAAGTAGTAGTAGTGGTGGTAGTGGTAGTAGTAGTAGTAGTAGTAGTAGTAATGGTGGTAGCAGTATTAATAGTACTGGTAGTAGTAGTAGTAGTAGTAGTAGTAGTAGTCGTAGTCGTAGTCGTAGTAGTAGTCGTAATAGTACTAGTAGTAAAAGTGGTAGTACTAGTAGTAGTAGTAGTAGTAGTAGTAGTAGTAGCAGTATTAGAAGCAGTAGTAGTAGTAGTAGTTGTGTAGTAGTATTAGTAGTAGTAGTAGTAGTAGTCGTCGTCGGCGTCGTCGTCGTCGTCGTCGTTCGTCGTCGTCGTAGTAGTAGTAGTAGTAGTATTAGTGTAGTAGTAGTAGTGTCTGGTAGTAGTAGTCGTAGTCGTATAGTAGTAGTAGTAGTAGTAGTAGTAGTAGTAGTAGTAGTAGTAGCAGTAGTAGTAGTAGTAGTAGTAGTAGTAGTAGTCGTAGTAGTAGTAGTAGTAGTCGTAGTAGGAATCGTAGTAGTGGTAGTAGTAGTAGTAGTAGTAGTAGTAGTAGTAGTAGTAGTAGTAGTAGTAGTCGTAGTAGTAGTCGTAGTAGTAGTCGTAGTAGTAGGGCCACAATTTTAATGCCCAGATCCAACTGTAGGCCACTTCGTGTTCGTCGAGGTTCCCAAAACTCCATTCCCAGGCCACATAGTTCCCAGAACTCCATTCCCGGGATACATTTTGAATGTCTGGAGCCAACTGTCGGAAACTTCGTGTTCATCGAGTTCCCAGACCTCCATTTCCGGGCTACCTTTTGCTTGCCGTCCTTGGGTTCTTAGCGCTATTACTGAGGCGTTCGAAGCTTCCCGCACTCTTTAATACAATCAAATTTCCCCTCTGCCTCTGATAGCCGTCTTTGGTCCAGAACGTGTCTCCGACATTCCAATGCCCCTCGCCACAAGGTGCCTGTCCTGCGCAGTCTACATTGCAATGGCCTTCGCCTCGCCGCGAGACTCGTCCCCATCTTCGGGCCCCCGCGGTGCTTCTCAGCCTGCGGGGAGGGACCGAGCCGCGTCTGCGGCCGCGCCAGACGCATCCGTAGTAGTAAGTAGTAGTGTCTCGTTCGAAATTAAATCCATTGATACTCGTGTCTCGTTTGGGGCGGGAACCATTGATAGCAGCGTCTCGTTTGCACCTACACCCTTGCATAGCAGCGTCGCGTTTGGAATGAGCACAAAAAGAATGTGCTGTCTCGTTGATAGTAGTGCCTCCTTTGCAGACACGCCCACTATTGATCGTAGCGTTTCGCTTCCAGTCAAATCCGAACGTGCATCTAAAGAAGAATGCTTCCATATATGTTCATACACATTGCTGTTAGGTTGCGTTGCTGGGATAGTTGCGTGTGTGTGTTTATTTGTGTGTCCTGCGGCCCCTTCATCCAGGGTGCCCCCGCTGAGGCCTCGAGGAGGAGGGCGAAGAAGGGAGGCCTGGGCCCTGGCCATGTGAGGCATCTCGAAGAAGAAAGAACGCCATGGCCTTTTTTCGGGCCGGAGGGAAGGGGGGGATTGGGAAAGGGGGGGTGTTACGAAAACTGTTGCATGCAGCCGGTTTCGGCCCCACCGAGGAGCCCACTCCTCGATACTCAGCCGCCTCAGGTGCCGTGGGGCGCCGGGAAAATCAGCTACGTGGGCTTTTGCCATGGGGGGCATTTCGAATTATGATGTTCCGGCCGACTTTAGCTTTGATCGCCAGAAAGAATGTCGAGCGCCAGAAAAAAAAGGGCCGAACTTCAAAGGTTTTCACGTGTCGGGCCCTCGGAGACTCGTCCGACACTCCTTCGACACCGTTTCGACACCCTTTCGACAGTTGTCCGGGTCTTCGAAATGTTTTTGGGATGCGGTTCTAAGTGCGATGGGAACAACATAAATTTCGAAGAAGAAATGACGCCATAACTTTTTGCGTCGGCGGCGAGGCAGGGGATGTCTGCGCTGGCGGAAAAGGTCTGAGCGGGGGTGCCGTCAGGGCAGATTGTGCCACCATGCAAGAGGGGGAGCGGGAGGAGGACGCGGCCGACAGGGGGCGAGGCAACGCCATAGACATTTTTTTTGGGCGCGCCGCGCGGATTTCTGAGATCCGTGCTGGCCCCTCTTGGCGGCGCGCTCCGCGCGCCAGGGAGGGTGGCTCAGCCCAGATCCAAGAAATCCTCGCGGACCTCCAACAGTTCATGTTCATGCCTTTGTTTGTTCTTCCTTTTTGCCATGGGAGGTATCGGGGGGATGTGGATTTGATGTTGCGGATTTGTGGGAGGGGAATGCCTTGCTGACGCCTGCAGGTCTAATACTAATGCCTTCTCGGGCTTCTCCACTTTCCAGTGCCTCCTCGCATCCCCTGCTCTGCTTAGCCTGCCTTGCCACACACGGGCGCTACAGGCTTGCACCTAGAGTCCGCTCAACCCAAAAAGGTGAGGCTTGGAATCGCTCGGACATGTGCTTTATTCGCGGCAAGACCATCGCCAGAACATCAGGATAATCTTGGAGTCTCTTGGACCATCCCGATAAACCACAGTGCGCACGAAACAATGCACAGGGCATGAACGTCCGTGCGATTACAACGAGGGAGGGGAATTGAACAGCAAACAACGGCATACACATGCACTTCGAAGGTCCGCGCGGATTTCGTGGATCTGCGCTGTGACTCCGCTGGCGGCGCCAATCCAAGGAACGAGGGGTCCAATGCCGATCCAAGGAATCCGCGCGGAGCTCCGACAATTTCTGTCTGCGTAGTTCTCTCTTCCTCCAGAGGAAGACGGAAAAGACCAGTGGGGGCAGTCATTGGCTCCAGACTTGAATGTGCTTGTGCACTCTTGCGCGGATCACCGCTCGTTGCGAGTGGACGTGGCTTCGAATGCAGAGCCGAAATTGCCAGCAGCGTGCGATGGCGATGACGAAGTGGAGAAGGAGTGGGAGGGAGAGGGTGGATGGAGCAGGGAGGATGCTGAGGAGGCGGGAGTCCCCAGAGGTAGAAGGTGGAGGCAGGAGGTAGAGGCGGTAGCAGAAGTAGGAGGCAGGAGAAGGAGGAGGAGGAGGAGGAGGAGGAAGACGAGGATGAGGCAGGATGACCAGGCAGGAGGAGGAGGAGGAGGCAAGAGGAGGAGGAGGAGGAGGAGGCAGGAGGAGGAGGTGGAGGAGGAGAAGTGGGGGAGGCAG